AGTAAAGAGGCTCTCATACGACTCACTCAAGGAGTGCATGTTGCGTTGCCTTAAGTAGGGACTTGGTAGAGGGTAAACAACGATGATAAGGATTTCTTAAGACTAAGCCTTGTATCGTCTTCCTCCTCCTCCCCTCTCCTTTGCTCCCTCTCTCTGTCTTGGCCAATCAGAAAGCGTCCCTGGGGGCGTGAGTTGGTATTTTGATCACTTGTACTCAGGCGTGGAGTGATAACGGAAAGGGATTATGAAAGGCAAAGTTATTTCTCTCTTACAGGATCCTCTATCATCAGCATCGGCATCAGCACCACTGCTTTATACATGTGATGAGATCAAGTGGGAGTTATCAACTTTTCATGTGACGCATCCAGCTCTCGAAGTAGTCCAGAAATGGTTTCGAATTCATGATGCGATTCGGCATCTTCGTCCACCTCAAACGAAGTGGAAATTAAAGAAGGTAGCTTAAGCCCACTGCCCAAAGAAAATGTTTCCCCGTTTTGACGATTTCTTACTCAACTCGACTTCCGCAATGACTGCACAAAGTGGGGGGAAGATTCATCAGAATTTGTATTTCAACATCCGCACAACACTTAGCTTAGTTTTCCGTGTGTTTGGTCCGTAAAAATGTGGTTAATTATTAACCTAGTTACACTTGCCCATACATTCCTTAACTTAGAACAATGATTAGCATACTAGGGATTGACGCCCATGTAACAAACGGCTGTTGGGTGTGAATAATGCATTCAGGAGTCGCGTGGCCTTAAAATGGCCAACTTTATTTTTAGAAGAAAACTAGCGATGGAAACTGCTCCTTCCATTAAAACAACGGCGACAAAAACGTGAAAACGTTTGACACCATATCCACATGCCACTAGGCTCCAATAGGCATCAAATATTCTTGTCTTAATTGTGATACAGGTGATATAAGGAGGCTATTTGATCAGCTAACAAACCACAAAACCTTATTTTAGATAACACAAAGCAAGACTACTCAATCCAACAGCCTAAGCAACGCATATTTTGGGATACAAGGGAGGCAACACACTGCGGTACCGTTGAACAGCAAAGTACCCTGCACTGCCGTAAGCCTGAGTGGAGCAACTCATGCCCTGTCGGAAAAATGCGACGGAAACACAGCACACATGGCCATACGCCTAAGAGCGAGAGAACCAACCATTAGCCAGGCCGCCGGATTCAATGCGTCATCTCGGTGTGGGCGCCACTGCCACCTTTTGATTGGCTGCCATTCGTCTGCATTGTGTGCGCACGTTGGGCTGACACTCAACTCTCGCATTTACAAAGCCATGGCGAAATCACGCAAGTAAGGTTTTAGTGTCACTGCATTCGGTTGTCCCGCTTTGAGGTCGAAACTGTCCTAAATTTTGAATAAGATCAGAGAGTGCTTACTAAAATTAACTTCAGACACAAGTGACGTACATCCTGGATGCTTTGTTTAGCTTTGGTCACGTAGGCACTTTGGGGTCCGCCGATTGTACTTAAGCTTGGCTCCAAGACTTTTGGCCCACGCCGGTGACCCCTCTCCCAGCCCTCCTGTGTGTCGGCAACTCACTTTCTTTCCTAGTATTATAACTTCTTTCGTCTTCAGGAAGGACTGGGGACGCCACATTGGTGGCAGCGGTAAGCAAACCCGATCATAAAGAATAAACACCCCGATATCTATCACTGAATGCTGAAAATTCATGCACCGGAAGAAGGCCATATGTTGCGGATAGAAGAATCTGTGGCGACCCCTAACAGAAGGATCGAAAATGACGTCTACGCTCAACAGCTACCCCAATCCCGTATTCTACAGGAATGCTATTAAATCCTGAAGCAACAATAGTCGTGGCCGTGAACCATCTGTAAAAGTTCGTTGCGGTGCTATCTACAGTATCCGCATAAAGATGTCAATTAGGTGAATACGTGATACCTCCTCCACTTCCCTCTTAGCTGCATAGAACCCGGTTAGATTGATACAGCTGGGCAGCACTAAAGTGAAACTACAACAACGCGGTCGGCTCTTGGATACTTCTGCTTGCAAAGCGCTGACTACGTTGTGATGGCTGATGCGGGATGTTGGCCAAGGGTGAAGGGTGCTATATAACACTTTGATCACTTGTTTACTTCTTCGTTTTGGTTTCGCGGGCACTTAACACTACGTCGATTGTACTTCCACTGGGCGGCATGGCTTCTGGGTCACGCCGGCAGTCTCTCAGCCTTCCTGTACGTCAGCAATACCCTTTCCTCTATAGCACTACGACTTACGTCTTCGGGAAAGATTCGAGGGCGCTGTAATTGATGTAGATGATTTTGTAGGATTTTGTGGTATTGAGCACTTGAAATCCCCTTAAGCATCTAAAAGTGATCTAAGATAGTGGAGACAATGTCGGAGCGTCATATACATCCAAGAAAATGAAAAACTTGATCATATTATCTTGAATAAGTAGGGCATTGATTCCGTCAAAGATGATCAAAATCGAAGTCCCTGGCACTTCCAATTGCAACATACCTCGGAATCCATCCCCAAATCGTACATTTTATTTCTGCTATTGCTCATGCACTCAGTTCTTTAAATAACAATTTTATTTCGTTAATCATAATTTACCAACCGATTCCGCACCTCTTGATGAAATCCACACGTCCAACATATTCTTCTAGAAATTCCATTGTATCCTATCAATTGCTTTGTCCAACTCCCTCCTTAATGCTACACTGATTTCCCCTAAAATACCTTCATGTTTTTTTTCTGTTATGGGTTGGTGCTCATAAGCTGGAACTCGAATCCTGTCGAGGTCCCAACTCCCTTAACCAGGTGACAATGCCTTTGATACAAACGGCTTTGTTTACCAACAGGTATTGGTAAGCACATGTCAAAAACCAACCGACCAGTGGAGGACGCCGTACACACCAGCGAGATTTGAGTCTCCTGTACTTGAAGCACTTGATTCCCCTCGGCTTTATGATGGTTATCAGCCCACTTAAAGTACATCTGCATGTGATATCAGCCAATCAGAGGGGACCGACCGAGGACATGACGTTCTAGGGAGTTCCAAAATGAACCATGAAAATGAAAACTTCCAGATAATCGAGACAGAGACGTTTCCTTTGTCTGCAAACATTCTCAGCATACTATCTCCAAACAAGTGTTATTCTACCGCTGTTGTCATTTTCCCTTGTTTTCCCAAGAATATTTTCGGGCAAATCATGCTGGAAGTTTCGTGGGCTTGCATAATGTGCATGTAAATCCAACTGAACCCAAAATTATGCGCTCTGGAACTGATGAGAGAGTTAAAAATCAGGTCGAAATATGTTCGATTTTCAAGATATGAAGAAATCGGGATAAAGCGCTACGCTTCAAGTTACGAGACAAACTGAAGGGGTCGTTTACAAGCCGTCACTAATTTATGGGTAGAAAGAAAATAACTAGTCCTAATACATAATTACTTGGCTCCATCTTTCCAGATCACATGGCGACCACTTCGGTGACACCAGTGATTTCTCAACACCCCTACTCCCTGAAGAGTTTACTAAGCCGGATTAAGGCTTTAACAGTTTGTTTAACTCTACTTTGGACTACATGGGATCCTATCGCACCATAAATGGCACTTCCGTTAGGCTGGGACCTCTCGGCCCTTCAGTGCGCCGGTAATACATGCGGCTTCCAACGGCTTGATTAGCGACTCGAGATGGATAGCTAGATTCAATGTAAGATTCGTGCACTCTTATAAGAATTCTATTTTACAACATAAGTCTTCTTCAAGTCCGTCTTGTGAATCAATAGGTTTTAAAACAGGACACTCTACAGAGCAGAGCCCTAAATGAATGTCGTCATCTTATTAAGCAAGACTAACATCTAAAGAAAACTTCGTGTGATTTAGGGTCACCTGGAGTATAGAACAGAAACACAATTTGGTAAGCAGCTAAAATTTGGAGGAATACAGCAGCAGTATCTGAGCTTGAAGCAACATTTAGTACAAAATTCGTGCTAATTTTACCAATGACATTTACCTCACGCTTGCTAGCCAAATGTTAAAAGTAGTTAATGAATTATTTCCAGATACTGTGTTGCGTTCTAGGTTTAGCATAACTACCGTGATTTGGTTTCTCACTACATCCATTTTCGTATTTTCAGTATTAGCAAATATTATAAGACGTGTCCATCTTCCCTTCCCTATTTGTTAGCATAAGTCAACAATGCCTGTCTATTTAAAAGAATCAAATTTAACAAGCAAAAAATCTTCACGAAGCCACAAAAATTACTTGGACTGTTGAGGTATGTTTAAGTCGATATTTAGCCACGCGGATCCGTTGGTTATTTACGCATTTATTTCGCGATGCTCTATGTTGTTTTGGGCATCGTCCTTATCACTTTGTTTCTATTGGCATATTTTTGCATTGGATCTACTAGGAGATCCACTGTTCTTATAACGGGTCCTTGTGATGCTGGAAAAACTTCTCTCTTAATTATGCTCGCACATAAGAGGAACGCAATGACTTTCACATCTCTTATTCCAAATGTTGAAGACTATGAACTACGAATGAAAGTAAATAGTGCCAGCTTTCACTCCCTTAGAATTTGAGGAAATTGAAAATTGTTGATGTTCCCGGTCTGGAGAAACTTCGATTTGAATGCATTAATAAGCAGAGAGCTAATACTGGGCAAGTCCTCATTTTTCCCCTAATCAAACTTATAGTGGCGTTATTTTTGTCATTGACTCAACAAGTATTCAAAATACATTAAAGGACACGGCCGAATATCTCTTCGACTTGATGACAAATGCTACTCTTGCGCGGTCTCGTGCACCATTCCTCATTCTCTGTAACAAGAATGACCTACCCGATGCTAAGGATGCTGTTTCCATTGAACAAATGTTGGAAACAGAATTGTAAGTACTTACTTAACCCACCCTTGTTCTTGATATCGAAGATGTCGATTTACCTATTTTATGTGCTGCCTTTTTTGTTATTCAGAACCACGCTGTGTCGCACAAAGGCAAATGCACTGGCTGGTCTAGACGGCCACCAGGAGCTCCGTGTGCCTCTCGTGAAGAAATCGGGTGAGAAGTTCTTGTTCGCAGAGTGCAAACACCATTGCGTCACCTTTGCTACCTGCTCCGTCACATCAACCGATATCAGTCCCGTTCGTCTTTGGCTAGAACGTTTGTGAAAATAATATTTTTCTCAGTCTGATTTTTCCTACGCAAAAGTGGGTTATTTTATTAAAAGGTGTAAAATTTTTGAGGGAGGGGAGTTGTCTCCTATGTCTTCTTTACTTTTTGGGAGCATTCGGTGCAAACTTTCCCCCAATGTCTGCCTCATTGCTGCGTTACATGGTGGGAAGATATCCTCCATGAACACTGGTCTTTTTACTCACAGTCCGTTGATCTAACCCATTTCCCCACCTATTTGCCTCAATGGTTTCGTGACTCGATGTGGCACTCTTTCTTATGCTTAGTGGACGGACCGTGGAAACCGCCCAGAAATTTCCTGTCTTAGCGTAGATCACACTACTGTACATTAAAGAGTCACCAACGGGGGAGATTTAATTTTAGCGTACAAAAAAGGGAAAGAGGTGCGGACACGATTGGGGTCTCCTGGTTCAAAATAGGAGAGCAAAGCGACAGGGGTCGGATACCAATCTAGGAAATGCCACTCCGCCGGAGTCCGGTCGCCCTTCGTTATGCTTACGGACTTACTATCCTGCTTCGTTGCTCCGCTGATTAATCGGGAATCTTTTACTTCCAGGCTGGATCACTTAACTTAAGCCGAACGGTTTGTCTTCTCACCCGTTTTTGGGAACTCTTGGAGTTTGCTTTCCTTTCGTCAGAATAGTTACGCACTACTGCTTTGTTTTTAGTAAATGTTTAACCTGTTTTAATACCCCTCAGTTGCAGGTGTATTGCCGCCCTGACGTGTTCCAATTTTACCTAGTTTTATAAAAAAAAAAGACTGAAAAATAGCATTCCGGAACTCTCAGTCCCATGCGTTTAATGATCTTGGCTCCCGACCTACTAAAGTTTCATCGCCATAGTTACGCCACCTCAAATGCTTTAAAACGGCGTTTTTAGTTTGCGTAATTTAGTAGGAATTTTAAGTCCGAATCCAAGTGATCTAAATTCATTCACTCGGCTACTTGGTTATCATTTGGCTATTACCATTGTTGAACTAACCTCATAAATACCTTAAGGTCCCTATTATTTACTCTGCACAAACTTAGCAGAACTTTTTTCAGTGGTTATTTCTCCCATTTTAATACTTGCTAAGTAAAGTTATATTAATTCTTACTCCAAAATGCTGCCAAATGTCTATGTGCCCAAGGTCAATTATATACGGACTTTTCAGAATACTGAAGGTTACTTCTAGGTAGATGTTTGACTACAGTTAATGTGTGAAATTTAGAGAGGTTTTTGTTTTAATTTATCTAGGTCATCCATCTCTGACTTGTTAATAATGCTTTATTTGCGTTAGGTCCCCAAGCTTTTGAAGACAACATCCAAACATTAGAAATGTAAATTGTTAATCTAAGGCAATTTTACGGTCACTTTTTTCCCTTTTGGTTTTAATGAAACCACTCTTGAGCCCCTGGTCTATTTTTTGTTCCCATTCTTTAGTGATACGCTTTCTGCTATTATAGCGGACTTTGTAGCGCTAGGTATGTGCTAGTATCTCCAGTGAGGGTACCTTAGTCTCGCACAAATTACCATTTTAATCGGAGAAGATAGAAGTGGAGAAGTCTTGTAGAAGCAGAATTCACTTTGCTTGTAAACAAACTGTTCAAACGCCCTTCTTTAATGCATAGTCCCAGTAGCGGCCGTGACATGAGGCAGCAAACGGAGCTTAGTCACGCCACGCACTGCAAATTCTGATAAATCACAGCCTTGTAATGTCACTACCCAAGGACCTCATGTTTGTTCACTTACTGTTTTCTCCACCATGACTGAGCTTTGAGTAATAATTCGGGTCCATCGTTTAAAATATGTGTACTCGGATCAGAGCACAATAACGTGACATGCCTTATGTCATTGTTTTGATTCATTTGTTTTGATGTTGGTAATTCTTTAAACTTACTTTTCGGCCATTTAGATTAATTTAATTGAAAACTTCTGTGTTTTGTCTCCCATATCCTAAGGTGCCGGAAAGACATCCTTGATGATGTGAACCATCGTGCTTAAAAATAAAACATACTTTGTCTTTTTGGAAGGACAGAAAGTAATGTCTGATATTGTAGAAGCCTGATTTAGCGATGAGATGATATAGCCCTGGTTGAGCTTTAAAAGACAGAGAAGAGGTTGGTCTTCCAAAAATCGTGTCAAAAGTTGCTGGAAAAAAGTTAAAATGGATTTTTTCTGGTAGGATACACTTATGCGCAATGTTTAATTCTTTTTTTAAAGAACCTTTGACTTGCAGCTGGTTTTAGTTGAAAGTATCGGTGATGGATTTCAGCCAATGGCAAGGGTATTCATGGTGTTAAAAATCAGAGTTACTCAAAAAAAGTTTAACTCATAGCTACCTAGATGTAAGGATGTGCAGAAAGGTTAACTGAGGCTTCATTTTAAACTATGTGTGGGATGATACAATCCATTATCCTACACAAATTTTTGAATAAACCGAACAAGACTATAAACAGAGGACTAATTTCAACGTCGAGAAAGATCTTTTCACTTTACGACATTGCTAATTTTCTTAGGGATAATATTCGACGAAATCTACTTTAAATCCTTTTCTTGTGAGAATCGTAAATGAGATAGGCTAAACTGCAACACGAAGTTCTATTCAATTTGTTTATTGACGTTTGGATCCAAAAGTGGGAATGGAGGAATTTACTCAATTAGCATGAAATTCGTAATCCTAAAAAACCTGCTATGATGGTTTGACGATTCATAAGACGACCAAAAAGTATGTGTGGTTTTCGGTGCAGGCTTCTGTGATGACTTTTTGTAATTCACGGCCTGGTTATAATCACTCGATTGTTTATGCATTACTAAGCCAGGGTGGGCAGGCGTCGGTCTATCGCTGTGGCACTCCCTGTCTCTCTTGCTTCCCACCATTTTGCTTCTCTTTTCATCCCATCCTTATTATCAACTTATGTTGGTTAAACTTAGTGGATGTGAATTTGCCTTGTTGGCATTAAAAACCGAGATTAAATTAGCTCCAAAACTGGAGATTTTTCTTACCAGCTGCTTTGCGTAGCACTTAGTGAAGGTGTAGTATGCGGTGGCCGAAAGTACTGCCTAAAGATGAGCATCGCAGTCAGGAAGGCCCCCGCATTCTTTAAAACTGGACGTTAAAATAATTCAAGACTAAGGAGGTGTCACGAAACCTCGGTTAAGTTTAGCGTGGGTTAATACTCCCACCAACCGAGAAGGGAAAGTCCTGATGGAAGCTGAGCATATGACTCTCCTCCACACTTGAAGCATCATCAAATAGTTGACAATATGCCTCAAAACTATCCTTTTCATTGTTCTGCACCCCCTTCACGTGCCTTACTAGCGTGCCGTTTTGCCTGGTTCACTGACTGACTCAATGACTGATTGACCTGTCAGGAATGGTGATCTTTGTCATCTATTCCAACGTTTGTTAAGCCAGTCAACGTACCATTGATTACCTTCAGGCTGCCCACTCACTACCCCTTACAATCCACTGCTAGGGCAAACACCGATTCATCCCCAAATGACTAATCTTTCATTGTTTTTGCACAATTCACTGAAGGGGCAATTGTTCGTTAGGATTGGCTTTCTTGCTGAGGGACAAACAGACTCGCCTGAGATCCACCTATTCAATACCGTACAACTGGAAGATGGGCATGAAAAAATTCTCCTTTAGAAACAGCCAGAGCCAGTCAATGAGCCCTCTTCTTTTTCTTGCTAAAAGAAACAATGCAGCACAAGGCCTTATACGCCATACAGCAAATTTGCTAGTGATAATATGTGCACCTCAGGGCAAGACTCAACTCACGTTCCTTCAACCAGGCCATCACATGCAAAGCAGAAGAGGCAGTTGTGAAATATAGGCGAGATAGAAATGGGGGTAAGTAGGAGTAGACAGCTTGCATTCAAGGGCAAAATGCTAGGGTGAGAATAGAATTTTCAAGCTTGTATCCCCCTAAAAGTGAATCATGGATTTTATTATGGGAAATATTACTATTAGTGAATGGAATGATAGCTATTTATGCAAGGGGATAAAAATTGTGTTCTTTGCTATGGAAATGATAGACTACATTCGATGAGTTGGCGCTATCCCATTCAAGGGTCAGGTGATTCAACCCCCTTAACGCTTTGAAAGATAGCTGATGCATTTTATTAACCAATGCATAGACACATCACCTTCTCAAAAATTGTCGAGATACCTTTTTTGAATTCATTTCTTAAAATCTCTATGTCAACCCAAAAAGAAGATTTTGTAGCTGAATTGTGTTCCTATTGAGTAGTATATTCGTTTTGCATAAAAAATCGATAAACTTTATTTCAATATTGCATACTGCTTCAATTAAAAAGTCTTATGAGTGGAATTAAGACTATTAGAACTATCAAGACTTCAACCCATGTAGGTGCATGCGTTTTATTCGTAGGGACAAAAAATGGAGGTATATCACAGATGAGTTTGTAATTATCCGAGGAGTTATTGTAGACCTTTCGTCAGTTTGCCCATTCCTGGGCAGTTTCAACTCCTCTATTCTAGGCAAATGATTTGCTGAGGACATGAAGTATTGTTAAAAAGAGGGTTTCGGGATTCATAACATCTTCTGTCACGAGATCAGACGGATACGTATCAGGGATGGAATTCAACTAATTGGATGGGAATTCGTGGTGCCAAAATGGTTCAGCAAAGTCGACGAACTTGTTTTATTTAAGTTATTTAAAGCCAAGGATAAAATAGTCCCAGCAAAGGTTATTAATAACTAAGTCTACTCTAACCAGTTTTTCGTGAGCGGTTGATAGCTTCCTTCCAGGTAGGTTAGAATTGATGTTCGACTGGTGCACAATATTCTCCTCCATAAACATTTTTTATCATTAAAAGAATTGAACATAAAATTAGTCGCTGATTGTAGCCTGATGGGATTAATTGTACCACTCTCATAAGACTGCCTTGCTTACTAATAAAGGCACATGAAGCATCTCTCCCACTGTACCGTTATTTTCCTAATGAGGTATGTTCACCAGTCAGTTG